GCGTAGTGTTAATTACGGAGAGGAATACCGATTCGTGCACTTGAGTCAATTATGGCAGTGTAAAAGGGGGGATTCAATTATTCATATTTGTGGATTCCAGCTATTCTGGATTTAGAATTTTTTTGAGTAGTTAAGCTTTAGTTTCTTTTCCATTCTTCTTTTGACAAACGTAGGGTTAAGAAGACAAAAATTCCATAAGTGGGTCTAGGCATGCATTCTGTTTTATGTCTGTAATTAATCTAAAGTGTTTATGTTTCTTAACAAAATATCCAGTACAGTGGAATTAAATTAACTTCAATTTGACATAAAAAATTAACGATGACTCGATGAGTCAACACCTATCTTTTTTTTTTCAAACACCAATCTTTTTTTTTTTAGTGACAGAAAGATATTTCCAAATTTATTAGGAAAATTTTATTTTAGGAATTAGGGTGTAAAATAAAAAAATTATAAAATGGGGATAGCCTCTACTATTAGTTTACTATTATTTAAATTTCACAACAATTATTCTATATGCAAATCTACAACTAATTAAAAATTTTATTGAATTTGTCAATTGATCAGTTTTTGTTCTAATTTCATTAAGTACATGCAAAGTCTTAGGTTGGAATCAGCAGGCTCTCTCTCTTTTTAGATTTTATGGTGTCTAAAACCCTTTTCCAGTGCTAGCTGGGCAATCATGTTTTCTCTATACACAAAAAGAAATTTGATCTATTTTGTCCAAATTCTCTCAATGCATCCCAGCATTTTGGTCACACAATTTATGTTTTAAGTATGTTTTCACAATGCAACATTTCAATGATCCATCAGTGATGCTACTATATATGACTCAGAAAATCTCAAAGAGATAGTTTTGAAGAAGAAAGGCGTACCTTTCTTGGCCGGCAGTGTCCCAGATCTGGGCCTTGATGACTTTGCCCTTAATGTTGACTGTCCTGGTTTGGAACTCAACACCAATGGTGGACTTGGAATCAAAACAGAACTCATTCTTAGTAAACCTAGACAGTATCTGGGTCTTCCCGACGGCAGAGTCACCGATCACCACCACCTTGAAAACGTAATCTATTTTCTCAGGAACACTGTCCTGACGATTCTCAACCTCAAAACCACCATTCATCTCTTCATTCATCTTTGCTGCAGTGTTTGAATAATGGTGTTGTTTGGTAAGTGGGAAAAGGGAGAGAAAATGATGACACGAGGCTGCGGTTCGATGGTTTTAATTTAGTCAGTCATCACTGATCATTAAAGCTAAAGAGAGAAAGTAAGGGCAATACGGTCTTGTTCTGTCTTCTTCTTCTTTC